AGCATCTTCTAATCTATTCCATTGATCCTCTGGTCTGTTTCCTTGCCAGTACCATGCTGTTTTAATCACAGTGGTTTTGCAGTATAGTTTCAAGTTGGGAATTGTGATACGCCCTGCCATGTCTCTGTTGGCTAGAATTGCTTTTGCTGTTCTAGGTCTCTTCTGATTCCAAATGAATTTTTCGATTGTTTTCTCTAGTTCTATGAAATATACTATTGGAATTTCAATAGGTATTGCATTGAATCTGTTTAGCAATTTTGGTAGTATGGTCAATTTCACTATTTTGATTCTTTCTACCCAGAAACAAGGGATGTCTTTCTATTTTCTTATATCCTCTTTGAACTCTTTTTTTCAGAGTGTTGTACTTATCATTGTAGAGGTTTTTTGTTTTCCTTCATTAGATTGATTCCTAAATATCTCATTTTTTGGATGCTATTGTGAAAGGAATTGTTTCCCTAATTTCATTCTCAGTGAGTCTGCTATTTGTTTACAAGAAGGCTATTGATTTTTGAGTGTTGACTTTGTACCCAGCTACTCTACTGAATCTGTCATTTAAGTCTAGAAGTCTTTTGGCAGAGATTTTTTGACCTTCTATATAGAGTATCATATCATCATCAAATAGTGACAGTTTAACTTCTTCCTTTCCTATCTTTTTTGCTTTTATTTCTTTCTCCTGTCTAATTTCTGTGACTAATGATTTTAGAACTTTATTGAACAGGAGTGGTGATAGTGGACATCTCCTTGTCTTATTCCTGATTTTAGTGTGAAGGTGTTCAGTTTTTGATGATTTCGAATGACATTGGCTGTTGGTTTTTTATAGATACCCTTTATCAGGTTGAGATAAAGACCATCTATTCCAATTTTCTGCAAGGTTCTTTATCATGAATGGGTGTTGAATTTTGTTGAACGCTTTTTCTGCATCTATTGAGATGATTATATAGTTTTTGTCATTGACTCTCTTAATATAGTGTATTACAATTATTGATTTATGTATATTGAAACTTCCTTGCATTCCTGGAACAAATCCGACTTGGTCAGGGTGTATAACCTTCTTGATGATCTTTTGAATTCTGTTTGCCAGAATCTTATTGAGGATTTTTGCATGTTCATTAGGGAGATTGGCCTGTCATTCTCTTTTTTGGTTGGGTCTTTCCCTGGTTTTGGATTTCAAAATTATATTTCAAAGTAATATTTGCTTCCAGGAATGCATTTGAAAGTATTGTTTCCTTTTCAATTTCATTGAAGAGTTTAAAGAGTAGTGGTGATAGTTCTCTAAATGTCTTGTAGAATTCAGCAGTGAAGCCATCAGGACCTAGGCTTTTCTTTATTGGTAATGTTTTAATTACACTTTCAATTTCACTGAATGTAATTGGGATATTTAGACTTTTTATAGCTTTGTTCAACTTTGGAAGTTCATATGTATCTAGGAATCTGTCCATTTCTTCCTGTGTTTTCCATTTTCTTACAGTACAGGTTCTCAAAGTAGGTATTGATGATTCTCTGGATTTCTGGTGGATCTGTAGTTCACCATTTTCATTCCTAATTACATGAATTTGAGCCTTTTCTTTCCTCTTTTTGTTAAGGTTGGCTAAGTATTGATTTTATTTATTCTTTTGAAAAACCAACTCTTTGATTTGTTGAGTTTTGCATTATTTTCTTAATCTCCATTACATTGATTTCTGCCCTGATCTTTATAATTTTCTCCCTTATACAAGCTTTCAGTTTGTTTTGCTCTTTTTTTCAAGAAGTTTAGGGTTAAGCATTAGATTGTTTATTTGAGCTCACTGTGTTTTCCTAGTATGGGCATTGACTGCTTAGAATTGCCCTTGTAGAATTGCCTTCATTGTGTCCCGTAGATTCTTGTATGTTGTACTAGCATTATCATTTAATTGTTAATCTTTAATTTACTTGTGACCCAATGGTTGTTGAGCAGGGTGTTATTTAATTTCCATGTGTTTGTGAAGTTCTTGCAGTTTCTTAGGCTATTGTTCTCATTTTGTTGCACTATGGTCTAATAATATACAGGGGATAACTTTAATCCCTTTGCATTTATTTAAGCATGTTCTATGTGCTAGCTTTGGATAATGACCTGTGTGCAGCCAAAAATAATGTATATTCTGATTTTTGTGGGGTGGAACACCCTGTAAACATCTACAAGTCTGTTCTATGACTTGGTCCAGTTCTGTTACTTTGTTGTTCATATTTTGTCTAGACTATCTGTCTATTTGTGTCAGTGGAGTATTGAGGTTCCCCACTACAATTGTATTAGTGCTTATTTCATTTTTTATATCCATTAATATTCATTTTGTATAGTTGGGGGCATTACTATTCAGTTCATATATATTTATGATTGGCATTTCTTCCTCCTGTATTATTCCTTTTACAAGTATGTAATGGCCTTCTTTTCCTCTCTTAATTAGTTTTGGTTTGAAATCTATTCTGTCTGCAAATAAGATAGCTACCCCTGCTTTTTCCAGGCTTCTGTTGCATGAAGAGTTGTTTTCCATCCTTTTACTCTCAGTCTATGAATTTCTTTGTGGATTAAGTGGGTTTCTGGTATACAGCATATTGTTTGATTTTGCTTCTTAATCCATTCTGCCAGCCTGTTTCTTTTGATTGGTGAATCGAGGCCATTAACATTGATGGCTATAATTGTTATGTTTTGACTCTTCATTGTGATGTTATTTTCCTGCTGCTGGTTCTTTCATTTGTTATTTTTCCCTCTCTCCCTTTAATTTCTTGACTTGCTTGGTTTATTTGCTCTGTTTGCCCTTATGGAGTTGTGGTCTTCATTTTCTTTTTCCAGGATATTGTTTAGAAGTGTTTGGAGTGCCAGTTTAGTGTTCTTGAAATTTCTCACGTGTTCTTTGTCATGGAAGTATCTTATTTCTCCATCCATTTTGAAAGATAGTTTTGCAGGATACATCGGTCTAGGTTGGAGGTTGTTTTCTTTTAGGATGTGAAATACTCACTGTAAGCTCTCCTTGACTTGAGGTTTTGTGTTGAAAAGTCTGCTGTGATTCTGATGGGCTTTCTTTTGCATGTGCTTTGTTTCTTTTCTCTAACTGCTTGTAGTATTTTGTTCTTTTGCTAGGTTTCTGGGATCTTGATTATTATATGGTTAGGTGTATATTTTTTTTGATCATGGATAATTGGAGTCCTATATGCCTCATTTATCTGTATGTCAAATTCTTCCCCTCAGGGAAGTGTTTTATCATTAATTCTTTGAACAGTTTTTTTTAAAATGTCATTTGTACTTTCTCCAGATTTTTCATGGATTCCTATCCATCTTATTCTTCTTTGCATCATCTAAGAATTTTTGGATTGATTTCTCATGATCCCTTACTGTTTGTTTTTAAGATTTACTTATTTATTTTTGGTACCAAGGATTGAACTTGGGTCTTTGCACTTGTGAGACAGATGGCAGAACCATTGAGCTAAATCCCTGGCCCAATCCCTTATTGTTTTTAAGAGACCTCTCTTTTCATGGTCAATGACCACAATCCTATATTCTATATATGAATTATTTTTTATCTTGTTTTGAGTTTATTGGTACTTTTAAAAGTATACAGTACAGTTACATTGATCATTGGGATCTTGTACCCTTATATGACAGATCTTGGTTCTCATTTTTTCCCCATACCCCTGACCTCTCTTCATCACCTCCACCCTCCCCTATTTCCAAAGATTTTGTTTCAACTTTTTCCTTTTCTCATATTTTTTTCTTTTCCCTTATTTTCTTTTCCCTACCTTTCCCACTTTCTCTACACCTTTAGCCCTTTCTTATTTCACATTATCAGTTATACAATTTGGATCTTATTTACACTTTTATATATCTGAATTCTATCTTCACATTCATTCATTCTGCTGTGAATGCTTTCTGTAGAGTTTTTAATCTCCTGGATATCTGTTTGAATCTGTTTCATGGATTCCATTTCTTTCCTATGTTGGGAAAAGAAGGCCTCCATTTCTTGCCTATGCTGGGCATTCATGGTTTCCACCATGGTCCCAAGCTCACCTATTTTTTAAAAATCTATTCTGTTCTAGAGTCTTTAATCATAGCTTTCATTCATCTAACCATCTCTATGGTTATCTGGGAAATTATTTCTGTTTTGAATTTTTCTAGAGCCTCATTTATCTATTTTGTTACTTCCTGTGCTATTGGTTCAGGGTATCCAGATGGTTAACTGTTAGACTTTTCCATCTCATTTCCCCCAGAGTTTACCTTTGATGGGGTGGAAATCTGTGTTTGTATCTTGTTTAAATATCTTCTCATTTCTATTTTTGCTGTTGGTACTGTCCCTGGTTTAATTCTTGAATTAATATTTTGATCTTGCAGATGTAGCTTGTCTTTAGGTTGTGATTCTCTAATGACTCTGAGGCAATCTCATTTTCATTATACCAGGGAGGACAACAACTATGGTGGTGTGATGTGCCTTTATCGCAGATCATCTTCACTTTTCCAGTGGGTTTCAATTTTCATCTAGGAGCCTAGGAGCCTCAGAAAGGCCCTCTTTCTCTTGTTGAGGGGGCCACCAACACTGCTATGTTGGTGCCTGTGAGTCTGGGCTCCTCTGGCATGCTGGGCTGAAGGGCTGAAGGGCCAGGCCTCTATATGCTTATTTTTAGAGGTGCAACACAAAAATATCTAAGTCTAACTTTGATATTTTCAATTTGACTTCATATATTTGAAGTGGCAGTTAAGAGGATTCTTCAATATTCTATATTAGAATGCAGACAGCTTTATATATATATAGAGAGAGTCAATTTATATTTATACAAATATATATATTATTGTATATATTTATATAATATATATTTATATATATTATACACTGTATATTATATAGTATATATTTATATATTATATATGATATATTTTTATGTGTTTGTGTTTTTATATGTTTATATGTATACATATTTATATACATATAAATACATATAGTCAGTTTATAAAAGATAAGCAAATTCTCGAAATTATCCAAAGAAATCTAGCTTACCTAATGATTCTGATACTGAAGGAATTCCAAATACAGGTACAAACTTTGATGTATTCCATTTGATCTTTTTCATATCAATTGAAGTTCGAATAATCACTATTTTTGTGAAATCTTCAGTGCCTTGTATCTAATGTTTAAAAGATTGAAAGTTAATTTTTCAGTATATCTCACGCAATTAAATTTTTGTTAAGCTACTATTTCAAATACTCTTTAAACATCTAGGAGAATTGAAAATATCAATACATTAATACTGACAAGACAGATTTCTTAAAATTCCCAGATTGTTTTTATGCAGGTCATTATTTCATATACTTTTATTGAATTTGGTATTTTATTTTTCTTCCAAATGAGAAAATGAAGGCATTTAATTATCAATGATATTTGATATTGTATTCCTAAAATGTACCAATAAACTTAATGAATTAAAAAAAAAAGAGTATGTACTACTTTAACCTTTGCTTTAAATTGGATATAATCTTGCTTGAGAAGAAAATGCAGAAATTAAATAATATGAACCATTTCTCCAATAAAGTTTTAACATTTCAATTTGAAGGAAAAAATTAAGTAGTTTTTTTCCAACAAGAGAAAATATTTTAAAAAATGGATTCCAAGAAATTATTCAAATTCTGGTTGTTTTCAATATGCTTTGAATCACATTGGTTTCCAGATTCACAATGGGCAGGGCTCAATGTCTAGGAGATAGAACTGGGCAAGTTTCAGGCTGCTTCAAGAATCTCTTGCTTGGCTGTCTAAATTCCCAACCAGCACTATAAAACTAAAACTCTGTTACATGTCCAATAACAGAGGTATGGAGCATCATAGGAAGGCATTTCACTTCCTGGCATCACACTTGTGTTAGTAAAGTCCACTTAGAGGAGGTTTGTGTGCCTATTTCACATCTCAGGATCCTTCCCCATCCCTACCACTTTTTAATTTTTCTTATTTCTTTTCTTCTTCAATGTGTAATACTTCTATTTTAGACATGCAAGAAAAGCTGCTTTGAATTTACCTTTTAAAAATAAGCAGTTATATACAGATAATAAAAGAATCAAATTTTATTACAGCCTAGTTCACAGCATCCAAAGCAAATAAACAGGAGAAAATGTGTATTTGTGCAGCATCAAAACTATAAGAATAACATATAGCAGGGTAGGGGAAAGGATGGAGTAAAATCTATGTAAATGAAAGATCAGTGATTCCTAATACTTTAAATGTAGTGAATCACAACATGGACAGTGAGAATAGAACTAATTGCTCTGTATAGTGGTCTAACACTAAATTTTCATAAGTGTTCTTTCAGTGGTAAACCAGTTTGAGTAACTTCTGAATTTATTGTTTACTGGCAACTCACTTAACACAAGATTTAAACTCCTTAGATAAAAACAATAAATTTCATACTTTCCCTTTCATAATAAAATATGCTACAAGTTTTATTAAAAGCACATATGATATTTACCGATATTAAATATTTCAGTATTCAGAAATACAAAGCCATGGTTAAAGCATTAAGTATTTAAATGATGAGTTAATACATTAGAAAGCCATTAGCTAGTAAAAAATGTTTAAGTACTGCAACTCAGTCACCTCTGAAAAAGCCCCATTTATCACTGTATGAGGCTTTGTGGGGACACAGGTGGCTGAATCTAGTCTGTGATTGATTCATGGTGCAATGCTAGGATTAATGATACTCAGATTAAGGGTGGGTGATTACTAAATCAGTCCACTGATTGGTTTGGCACTACCGTCGTCCTGGTAGCCTAGATAGAATACAAAAGGTGTAGAAAAAAGCTGCTCATCTCTCTTGCTTGCTTTGCTGCCTCCTGCCCATCATGCACTGTTTCTCCTCTGCAATGCCACCCTGACTTGGAGCTAGCTAACTGAGGACTGAAACTTCTGTAAACTGTGAGCTAAGTAAACCTTTCCAACTTGAAAAAAAAAAAAAAAAAGCATTGAATCTGGGGATTTACCACAGTGGCACTGTGCCTGTCTCTCAAGCAAAAAAAAAAAAAAAAAAA